GGTTTCAGTAAAGAAGTGATGAACAAGTCCCACCAAGCTGAACTTTTCCTCTTTCAGCACATTCAGCTCTCTGAAAGTGAATGGAAACATGAACTGGAAGTCCTGGTTGGCTTTGCCTTCAGCCCAGTCCAGGGTGTATTTCTGTGTTAAGACTGTTTTCCCAATGCCAGCCCCTCCTTTTGTCAGCACAGTTCTGATTGGTTCATCTCTTCCAGGTGAGGCTTTAAAGATGTCTTCTTGTCTGATTGTTTCTGGTCTGTCTGGTTTCCTGGATGCTGTTTCCATCTGTCTGACCTCATGTTCATCATTGACCTCTGCAGCCCCTCCCTCTGTGATGTGGAGCTCTGTGTAGATCTGATTCAGAAGAGTCGGGTTTCCTGCTTTAGCGATGCCCTCAAACACATGCTGGAACCTCTTCTTCATGACAGACTTGAAATGATGTTGAAAACCTTCAGTGGAAATTCCTAAAGGAACAGAGGAGTAAGAATCTCAATTTATTGATTGCACATGTTGACATGTCTCTAAAGACATAAGTAAATTTTCCATTAGTCCAGCAGTTTAAATCCTCTTACTGCTCTGCAGACGGTCCTCGTCAGCAGAGCGAGCACGACGACAGCTCGTCCTGTTTCATGCTCCTCAGAAAGTCCAGCGTGATCTTCACAAAAGTTCCTCTGGTCCTCTTCCTCTGTTCTTCTTCTTCCCTTTGACTCTCTAAGCATTCTGGGTAATCTGGACTCAGAAGCTTCTGGATCTTCTTCAGCTCGTTCTTCACAAACGTGATGATGTTGTCCTCCAGCAGCTGGAACAGAATACTTTATGAATGAGCCAATCAGACTGAAATCATGGAGCCAAACATCAGATCCATGTTGGACACACTGACACTCCGCTGGTCTACAAAGAGCAGCATGGAGATGACTGTGAACAGAATAGATGTAAAAGAAGTTGTTGTACATGTACAGACCATAAATATGGAGTCCAGCTGTGTTTGATGGGCAGACTGACCACGTCGAACCTCTGAGCTCTCCTGGTCCACTCTGTGGAGGAATCATGAAGAATTAGTTCAAGCAGAGGGTAAAGGTCAAGCAAGAGACATTTGGACAATGACCAATTTAGATGACTTGCAGCTGTAAATGTTCAACAGTTCATTTTCAACAGAAATTCATTCAGTATTTAAAGCATAATATTTTATCTCAAACACAGTTTACAGGTATAACCACAAGTTCTTGAGGTATTACTTTGAAATAAAGCTAAATTCCAATAACGATCAATGGGAGCAAAGTCCAGTTACAACAGTTATCAGAAAAATCCAAGTCAAGCCCCCTTTTTTATTTGTTAATAGCTACAAAGCATGTAGAAAAAGAAAGTCAGCCATCAGAGATGACAATAGTTACTCCTTAACTCAACAACAAGATGAAATACATGATTCTGGTTTCCGAACAAGGCAGAACGGTGACGCTCTGATTAGTACTGTTGTTTTTCAAAAAAGCAAAAAGTTAAACAGAACGTGAAAATGTGCCAAACATGGAAAAATACAGTTCAGTCTTAGTCTTTTCCAGGAACGAGGACACAACTGGGGAGGCAGGGACACAAAGGGACCTAAGAGGGAACTAACTCACTGGAGCGACCAGATTAATGTTTTTACCAACATCAATTTAGCTCTATTTGAACAAATAAGATTTTTCTTTCAGTGACAGCACTTCCTGTTTGAGCTTTAGATTGCATCTCTTTAATTTTTCTTTCCTGCTAGTGCAACTTTCATGGCCTTCCCTGCTTAAACTTGTTAACATGCTGTTCTGCATGGCGTGATGTTGCAAATTGCTGAGTGTCAGATTTGTTTCCTTGTGCCTTCGTACACACCGCCAAGGCAGCAGCAAAAGTTGACGTGTGTTGTGATCAGTGTTGGTCAAGTTACTTGAAAAAAAGTAATCAGTAACTAATTACTGATTACTTCCCCAAAAAAGTAATCCCGTTACTTTACTGATTACTTATTTTGAAAAGTAATTAATTACTTAGTTACTTAGTTACTTTTTAAAAACATGATTTACAACCTGAATAGGTGATAAAGCGATAGATCTTTCAGCCCAATTCTACTTTTTCTACATAATCATCATACAAAATGTAATCAAATGGAAAAGTCTCTTTTTAAAACTTGTTTTATTAGTTTTAATCTTTTAACTTTATGCATCAAGCAAAAATTTAATTATCTGTAACATTCTCTGACTGGAAGAAATTTGTTTAACATTTAAACCTATTTTCTGCACATTCCAGCACATAAAATAAAATATTTTGTGTGTTTACACTCAGTCTTTCAAATAGATGCAAGTAAAACACAGCAGAAAATAAATAAAGTCAAAGACTAGCGGTCCTGTTGCTCTGTTTTCACCTGTAAAGCAGGAGTGGGGTAGGCGGAGGTTTACCCTGGTGCAGGTGTGCAGTGGTCAGTGGAAGAATCCGCGAGTTTCTCTGTGAGTTTCCCATTACGTCGTAGCTACTCGGTGCTTGTTTGGAAGTTTAGGGTTTTTTCGCTGTAAAAAGAAGTTTTCTTCCCACGCACAACGGACACTAATGTTTTTGTCACTTTTTATGGAATCAAACTCAAAGTAAGGTCAGTACTTCCACGCTTTAAACGCTGCACGCTCATACTCTCTCTGCACTCGATATATGATCCATTGTTGATCTGCACACAGCTGTTGTCACGAACGTCGCACTCGCTTACGTCACTGTCATGAGACATTCTCGCAAAAAATCACGGTTTTAGTAACGCAGTAACGCAGCGTTCCTACGGGAAAGTAACGGTAATCTAATTACCGTTTTTGCAATAGTAATCCCTTACTTTACTCATTACTTGAAAAAAGTAATCGGATTACAATAACGCGTTACTGCCCATCTCTGGTGTTTACCATGTGCAGCACACATTTCTGTCAACAGTTCAGTGAGCAGCAGATGAACTGATCTCCAAAAGGCACAAAGTCAGAGAGGAAACTTTTTTTTCTACATTTTAGAAGATTTTTATTTGATGGATTTTCAGAAAAGTGGAGAAAAATGTTGAGTGACTTCAGTTTTAAGTAAAAATAACAACCAGTGTTTGAGTCATTTTTTAAGCTTTGAGTTTTATGAGTCAAAGTGAAATCTGTGCAGCAGAGTTGGTGTTACGTCCTCTAACTTCCTCCAACATACAGCACGTGACCGATGGAAGAAAACATGAGCACGAGCATCACTTCCTGTTTGCTGAAGTAGATTTTCAGTTGTTTAGAAACCAAAGGCTTGTTTTTAAGAGACGGTTTAAATGGGATTGAGGGAATGACGTGTTTGCACTGCAGTTTATATCCAACAACATCAAGCAGTTAAATCAAAGAGTTCATTTTACTAACAGCTCACCTCTCTGCAGCAGACGGAGGCTGGACTTTAAAATTAATCCAGTGATTTCCAGACTGGTCACTCTTTAAGGACACACAGCTGGGTTTAGGTCCAGGTTTGAGTCTCTGATGGAGCCTAAAAGCAGGTTAAATAAAATTAAATCACATCTAAGCTGATCACATTTGAGACATTGTAAGAGTGACATTAGCTTACTCAGATAACTGTCTTTGTTCAAATTTATGGATCAATTTTTTTACTCGGTCGCTCTTACAGGACACAGAGCTGGGTGGAGGTCCAGGTGGGTTCCTGTGAATAATGATGGAGCAGAGATGTGAGTGCTGAGCTGTGACATGGAGAAGAGTCAAGGACAGTTAGAGATGGTCATCTCACCTCTGAGCTTTGGTCTCATGTTTCCCACACAGAGTGGTTTTAGAGGGAGGGGCTCCCTCCTCTCTGTCCTCACACTGATCCATGCTGCTCAATCCACATCAGCTCACACACACTTTCTACCTTCACCTGCAGAGGAAACACAATCATTCATGTGCACATCAACTGAGAGCTGCAGAGGTCGTGTCTGACGTGTTGGACTAACATCCACCTGAGACACAGTTTTTATCAGTTCATTACAAAAAGTGTCACAGAGCCGAGTTCAGCCTCCAAATCCTCCATTACTGTAGTTCAACAAAGCAGCAGGTCAAACACGGCTGTAGAAATGGCAGCGAGCAGCTTTATTTCAGGACCAAGCTGACTGCTTACACAGTGATCACACTTTAACTGCTAAGCTAACTAACTAGAAGTTAATCAGCTAAAGAGTTAATGAGCCCAGGACACATTTAAGCCCTTTTCCATCAGTATCAACTCAACTCAGATCGACTGGTGTCCCATTACAGTGTAGCACCACATCAGTGTGGGTGGGTTCAGGCGGCCTGCATGTCACAAACACAACAAAACACATACAATAAAGGATTTTTTCTCTGGCACATAAACAGATGTAGATTTTTGTGCAATGACTTAATGCAAAGGAGAGACTGTTTTTATTTTCTTCAAAAGGAGTTATCCTGGCACATCTGTGCTAAATGTTGGTTATTCGTGAAAAATATATGATGCACAAACATAACAATCACTAAATTCTTTATTACGCTCTGGAAAATTCTAACTGTTTACAATGTGCCATGTATAAATTATTTTCTATGTGCAACATTGAAGCTATACTAAACCTCTCCTAGAACCAAAAGCTACAAAGTAGAGAAATGTAAAGCTTTTGCTTTTGTTTTGCATCAAAGGGGTAAAGTCCATGGATGAGATGAAACATCAGCCACGCATTACTGAAGCGAGGTAACCGACCACACTCAGGGATGCCTAACTGAAGGCAGCGACCTGTGCCGTTTGGCCTTTTCGTCCCTACGCCCTCTGCTTCCATGCCTCAAGCACACTAGTACAGTCCGGTTTAGATTGTGTCCTCTTCCTCTCGCCTGCAGGAAAGGAAGAATGGAAGGTCAATGCAACACAAGAGGAATTATGGGAAAAATGGAGCAAAAACACAGTGGAGGAAAGAAAATGAAACAAAAGTGCACTTCCTCCATCACTGCTAAAGTCAACATAGTATGAAATTTCATCACCATTTCTTACCAGTGATGGGGCATTGCTGTGTTGCGTCTGCACCGCTGCACCAACTGGGGCTGGGGCACAAGTTCAAGTTCAAATTTTATTCGCCACATGCAGGTTGCTCTGCAGTGGAATGGACCCGCCTGCAGGTTGCCCCTGCAACAAACAGGGGAGCTTGGAGGTCCATGCTAATCCAAATGTATGAAAAGCCCTCGCATGTAGAAAAGGTTTCACAGCAAAAGGACACAAATGACATTAAATTGGGGGAAAGTGTAGTTCTTCAGCTGTGGCTTTACTTTACGTTGTTCTCTCAGTAAGCACAAAAAACTAGCTGAGGATGGAGTTAGCATAAACAGAGAACTAGCTAGCTTTGTATCTGCAAAGAGACAACAGTGTTATTGAAACATGGCTTGTTCAAAGTGAACACATCACCAATGCTACTATATTACAAACACACAAAGCATTCGAAACGTCACCATGTTCTCGAGTCGAGGCCTCTCTCACTCCAGGTGCTCGCTGGTCAGCGCCCATAAAACGTCCGTTTGATTAAACCACTTCCTGTCTGTTGGACCCACGTCGGCCATTGTGGTCCTTGATGGCCCGGTAATCAGTTTTTAACGTTTTTAAAGCCACTGGTTACTGTGCATTGGTCCCTTTAGCAGCCAACCTTTGCAATGTGGACACTTCATCCAGCTTCATCTGAATCTTTTCTTCACTGTGCACAAAAAGGTCTGCACCTCTTCATTCGACCACAGTGCTGCTTTCTGCCCATCTGTTTCTTTCACTGTCATCTTAAACATGGTGAGTTTGATTTGTTTGAAGGAGAGTGTCTCATGACACATCTTGTGGTGACAGTGAATCAGTCGATCAGTGACATACAGCCTGGCAATGCCACATTTTAGCACCTGCTTGGATCACCTCGCAACCCCAGTGGAGTAGGTACAAAAAACCCTGAAAACCAGTTATTCGATCTGCTAATTGAGGCAATATTGAGATGAATTAAGTATATTCATGTAGGATTTGTCACATTAGAAGCCTAACTTCAGTGAGGAGGAAGAGTTTCAGATGGAAGGGAGAAGCTGAAGGTGGTGCTGGAGGAAGATGAAGATGATAAAACGTAAATAAAATTAAAAAAACAAGAATAGAAAGAAAAAAGGAAAATAAAAATGTAAAGATTTTTAATCATCACATATTGTTTGACCTTTAAAAATCCAAATACTCTTAGTCCTAATAGTTACAATACTTTTATACTGTTTATCTGATCGCTGTATCTGTTAATTATCATGTTTTTGTTCCTCGTCTTCTATCAGAAACAGAAAGAGATGAAAAAAAGTTTCTCTTTCTGCTTTTAATTTTTTTGCACCTGCGACAATAACAATAGACTCTCTATGAACGTGATCACGACCTTGACAGCATGACGTCATGTGCAAAACCGCTATAGAAACCATCAGCAGGAGTCCAGACATAAACCTGTCCACCTCCACACTGCCCCACAAACTCCACCCTGTCCACACAGCTTTAAAAAGTCGTCATTGTTATTTTTCTACACATCATCACTGAAACATTCAAACCGACTCATTGTGGAGTCTTTTTTAATAACTCCAAGCATGAAGACATCTTTTACAGACAGGCTATCGGCAACAGCTCGTTGGTCCAGCTGTGAGTCCGTTACCGTGAACTATGGAGCGGCAGATGTGTGCTGTTGGTGCTGCACACAGCTGATGTTAGCCAGGAAACATTACACACTGCTCGGGTTACCTTCACACGGAGACGATCAGCATCAGCCACAAACACCAAGAAAAAAAGGAACTTTGAGCAGGAAGGAAAGAGTCAGAGAGGCGTTTGAGGACACCGTTACAATCAGCGTTTGAGAAACAGTCAGTGCTGCATTCAGGTGCACGTGGGAAACTCCCAAATCATCTCTGGCAGGTTGTCCAGAGATGATTTATTTCTGCTGGTTTTCCTGTTTGAAACACAAACATCTGTCATCACTTTGTTCTTCCTGCAGTGTTTGAATAACTCAGCACTAAACTGACGATTGTTCAAAGCCCATTTCAACCTGTTGAAGTCATGAATGAAAGTGCAGACTGAGAGTGGATCACATGATGTTTAAGGTGTGTCATGTGACATGCTCAGTATTGTCACACGTCTAGATTGTCCCTGATATCATAGCTGCTCAAACACTGATGATTATATTTGAAGAATTATTACT